GGTTATGTGATCTATTGTGATACTTCACGTGACGGGTTGGGATGTGTGTTGATGCAGGATGGTAGAGTAGTGGCTTATGGGTCTCGACAGTTGAAGACTCACGAGCTTAACTACCCTACTCATGATCTGGAGTTAGCGGCAATTATGTTTGCCTTGAAGTGTTGGAGACACTACTTGTATGGTGAGAGATTCGAGGTATTTTCAGATCACAAAAGTCTCAAGTACCTTTTCTCCCAAAAGGACTTGAACAACAGACAGAGACGATGGGTTGAGTACTTGGAAGATTACAACTTTGATTTGCATTATCATCCGGGCAAGGCAAATGTTGTAGCTGATGCCTTAAGCCGAAAATCTCGTGGAACTTTGGCCAGTTTAGCTATTCGGAAGTGGAAGATGCTTAAAGATCTGGCAGAGATGGGATTACAGTGTTTTGATGATGATGGTTACAGTGAGTCGGCATTCTTATTTAGTCTTGTGGCTCAGCCTACTCTTGTTGTACGAGTGATTGAGTCACAGAGACAGGACCCGGACTTAGATGCCATCGACGCTTTGATCTCTAGTGGTGAGACAGTGAAAGATTGGGCCTTGCATGCAGATGGGGGTCTACGGTTCAGGGGTTTGTTGGTGGTTCCCACAGTTTGTCGTGAGGATGTCCTATGGGAGTTTCACACTTCCCGTTTTGCAGTTCATCCAGGTGGTACTAAAATGTATCACAATTTGAGACGTCAGTATTGGCGGAGAGGGATGAAGAATGATGTTGCACAGTTTGTGGCTAGATGCCTTAACTGTCAGCAAGTGAAGGCCGAGCATCAGAGGCCAGCAGGTTTGTTGCAACCATTACCTATAGCGCAATGGAAATGGGAGCATATTGCTATGGATTTTGTGACAGGTTTTCCAAGGTTACGAAGGGGCAATGAGTCCGTATGGGTCATCATTGACAGATTGACCAAGATGGCTCACTTTTTGCCTATTAAGGTAACAGACGATGTAGAGAAGCTTGGTGTATTTTATGTGAAAGAGATTGTAAGGTTACATGGAGTCCCTGTAACCATTGTGTCAGATAGGGATGCTAAGTTCACTTCGAAGTTCTGGGAAGGACTTCAAGCAGCGTTTGGTTTAGCGTTGCATCTTAGTACGGCATTCCATCCACAGACAGACGGTTAGTCGGAGCGTACTATCCAAATTTTGGAGGACATGCTTCGGGCATGTGTGCTTGATTTGGGAGGTAGTTGGGAGGATCACCTTCCACTTATTGAGTTTGCCTACAACAACAGTTATCAGGAGAACATCCAGATGGCTCCATTTGAGGCGTTGTATGGTAGACCTTGTAGGTCTCCTATTTGTTGGACTGAGGTAGGTGAGACAGCCGCCTTAGGACCCGACATTTTACTCGAGACTACTGAGAAGATTAAGTTGATAAGACAGAGGTTACTTACAGCTCAGAGCCGATAGAAGAGCTATGCGGATAAGCGGAGACGACCGTTATCCTTTGAGGTGGGAGACCATGTTTTTCTACGGGTTTCTCCACGGAAGGGATTGATGAGATTCGGGAAAAGTGGCAAGTTGTCGCCACGATTTATTGGACCGTTTGAGATTTTGGACCGAGTAGGAGAGGTTGTCTACAGGCTTGCTTTGCCACCACAGTTGGATAGGGTCCACAATGTTTTCCATGTATCGATGTTACGGAAGTACGAGCCAGATCCATCTCACATTTTGAGTTGGGTTGATGTGGACATTGATGAGGATGTTTCCTACGAGGAAGGACCAGTTCAGATTCTTGACACACAACAGAAGGTGTTGAGGAACAAGACGATACCAATGGTGAAAGTCATTTGGAGACACCACGGAGTCGAGGAGGCTACTTGGGAGCTCGAACAGGAGGTTCGGTCCAAGTACCCAGCGTTGTTTTCTTCTCCAGGTATGTCTTGATTTCGGGGATGAAATCTTTTTTAAAGTTGGGGAGAATGTAAAGTTTTTGACTTTTCAACTGTGGGGCCCACTTGAGTTATAAGGGTCATTGCAGACCCATTTAATTCCAATTTGTTTTCTCTCTCGTTGCTTCTGCTTTTTTTCTTTTCTTTTTTCTTTTTCAACTTCAATCCTTGATTCCATCTTCATTACTTACCGGATTTAGGTGCCGTTTGAGGCAAAACGACGAGTGTGACGAGCTCTACGTTCTAGTACCAGCAATTCTAGTTTTGCTACCTTCCTTGGAGCTAAAAAATTTAAATCCATTTCTAGGGTTTTGCCTATTTTGAGGTAGGGGCATCTTAATCCACTCTAGTCTTGTTCTATTGTGAATTTTACCTCCATGTTGTATTAAATATGCTTAATTTAGAGTTAATTATATCTATGATGGTATTAATGATGTCTAGAGGGTTTTCACGATCTTGAATATGGTTGGTTCATGTGCAAATTATATTTAGTTGTTGATTTCCTATGTTTACTATGTGCTAGCATGCTGAAATTGATGTATGAGAGTATGCTTATTTAAATTGCGCCAAATTTCCCAATTCATGATGTTGAGCTCATATATATATATACATGCACATGCTTAAATGTATTTTGTTGTATCTTAATGTGTTAATAATTACTTGGGAGATGTTGAACATGTTGAATGTTTAATTTTATGATGGAAAATTTTAAAGGCCATGACATTGAATGTATGGAACATATATACATGCACATACCATTGGGTTTGCATGAAATGGGAGAAATTGTTCTTGAAATAAATATGAGGAATTTCAGGGAAGTGTTTTTGATAAAATGGTTTTATGCGAAACCCGGTCGCTGCGGGGTTACCAACGGGCCGGAGGTTAATATAGCCTAGAGGGGACTAGGAGTCGCCCTAGCGTGGTTGAGCTAGCTGGGCCCCATAATGACGCCGCGGGGTTACCAAGGGTCAGGGACACTAGCCAATCCTCCTTTCGTGTCGCAGCGGGGTTACCAAAGGGCGGGCTGTATTAACGTTTGAAAGTGATGATTTTGAGAATGAAAATGGGGAGTGTCATTGACATGCATTGCATGTCATTTCATTGCATTGCATTGTTTATACTTGGAATTGACTTGTATGTTGTATTTGATCCCCTACGTTGTATGGTCCCTATCTCCCATTGGCCTATGCTTTGCTTGAATTCACAAAGACACAAGATTTGTGTCTTAAGTGTCACCTACTGAGCATATAGCTCACCCTACTATTTATACATTTTTTTCAGGTCTTGGAAAAGAATCGGTGGACGACAACCCACCTCAAACTTGAGCGATACTAGAAGCTCACTTTTGTGTCTTTTGTATATTTCCCATTATTTTTGCAAAGCACTAAAAGTATAAAGGTATATATGTATATTTTGCAAAACTTTGTCATGTAACCTTGTTGATGAATGGGAAGGATAATTTTAGTTAAAGTAATTATCGGTGTTATTTGATTGTGTATGATCATATACTGTTGCCGTGAATTCGGAAATTGAGCCATGATAGGTCAAAAATGAATTTAAACAGGGTATGGTAGGCCTATTTTTAGGGGAGGTTATGCCGAATTTTTTGTAAAATTCTTGGCATCAGCTAGGGTCGTTACACAGTCTCCCTAATTTTCTCTAGGTCACATTAACGCCACGGACCCAAAGGCAACTCCTAGGCGACCGAGTTTTTTCACAAACCTTTCATCAAAAACTTTTTTCCTAAAACCGTTTTTTTTCTTTCTTTCCATTTCAAATTAAATTTACCCATTTTCATGCCCAATGTCATGCATGAATGCATCATGCCTTTCCATGCCATAATTCTTCACATATTCACATTTAAACCACATATCATACTTAAGAGAAATTTGTGTAATACATGTACCATGCTTTCACATTTTAATTACGGTAATTTAAATACACGAGGCATGGAACAAAATCACTTAAAACATGTTTTTTTTTTTTTTTTTTTTCACAACACAATAATCAACAATATATCACATATATTTAATAACACATAGTGTCATGTATATACACATAAAATTCAAGCATATAAATTCAACTTTAGCATGTCATCTTATACAATTCAAATAGGTAATACACATATGGTCAATTATCACATGATATACAATTATCATATTAAATACACAAGACTCATATAAGCATAAACAATTTTCATGAAATTAAAACATACTATATCCAAATTTTTAAGGAGGAAATTCACAAAAAATTAAAGAATGTGGGTATTAGAGACACCTGCCTCAAGAATTGCAAAAAACCCCGATTTGCCCAATCCAAACCCTAGAATTCGAAATTCTTAGGGTGCACCAAAACCACCTTTGTTCCGATCAAATCGAAGATCTCGACGCGCTTTCCGTTTTGCCGCAAACGGCTCCCAAAAATACCAAAAATTGAGGGAGAAATCTAAGTTTAAAGATTGAAACCAAAAGAAAAAGAAAAACTCTAGAAATAGGAGGAGAGAGAGAGACTTATGTGAGAGAGAGAATTTGTGAGGCCAATGGTGGCCTTTTGCCACTTAAAGTGGTGGTGGTTTAATTTTCTTTTAGTTTCTTTTCTTTTTTACACCACACAATTATATATATACATTTAATAATTCACCGCCACATAAATATAATAAATAAGATGCATGAGGTGCAAATGGACCGACCGGCCCGAAAAACGAAAAAATGCAAAAATGATAACTTTGACATTTCAAAGAGTCTTGAACTCAATGAAATGTCCCAACTAACTCTCGGACACAACCGGCACACTCTATGGTGTTCTGCACGCAAAACGAGAAAAGTCGTGTCCGGCACGCAAAACGAAAAAAGACGAGAATACCCTTGCATGAACGAAAAATTCCTGAAAAATGGCGAAATTCAGAAATATTCCAAAATTCTTCCTCTATTTTACTGCAGACACTTCAAAATTTACATTGATTGATCTGATCAGAAATATTCAGATGTCAGCCAACGGTATATTGTATTCTCCACCATCTTATACGCACATACCAGGTAATTAAATATATATGTAAGCGTTGACAGATTAGCAGCATTTGTATTAAATGTTATTTGGCTAACAAAAAAAAAAATAAGCAACTCAATTGATGCGAAGAAATTCAACTCAGTTTACTTCATAGAAATCAAAGGTTACATCAAATTTACAAGAAAGAACCAATTCTTCTATTTCAAAATTGGAGCAATTGGTTTCTTTTGGTCAATGGTGTTAGAATATCTGTCCCTAGTGGCTAGCCATTCCCTTATCTCCATGCTTAAGAGCAATTCAAATTGCAAGTGAGATGGATGAAGGTTTCTTCTCTGCATGGGATGGTGAGACCGCCCATTGGATGATCAAATCCAAACTCTTCTTCAGCCTGGCTTAGCAAGTTTTGGAATGAAGGATGCTTCAAGTATGAAACCGGGACTACAAATCTCTTCTTCTCAGTTTCTCCAACATAAACAGCCAAGTGGCCTTTTGGTACACCCTTTGCCACTGGAATTGAGAAAACCTGGAGGAGCTTCTTAGCATGAACAATTTTGAGCAAGCGGACACCCATAATTTGTATCAAATGTTTTTTCTCGGAGAAGTAGCAAGTAATTGATTGTAGGACTTTGTTAAACAAGAGAAGCTTTGAGACGTGAGTGGCTGATGTTGGATTGGAACACATATATATATAGGGTATACTTATACAGGCTAATATTATCATATGGATTGAGTGGTTAAGAGAGTAGTGCACTGTGGTCCATTAATGACATATGTCATGAGGTATCACATGGCTATGCCTCACAACAGAAGGAACATGTTAATATTTCATGATGTAACATATCCGAGTGCCTTGTCATGGCTTATCAGTATGACAAAACAAACAACGGAGATGAAGTTGAAGTTGAAAATATGTTATTGAATGTGGCCTACTGATTATAACTATATCAATACTGTCCATGCATCAAATAAACACAGAGGCCACAGGTGCTATGTATGTTAAAGCACCAACGAACATGGGATTAAAGAAGTTAGGTGATCTTGTGACAATGTTCATTGCAAGTGTGTGTGATGATATGAGTGGTAAAGAGGCATTTAGATGGGGCTCATGGGACATGTTAGCACAAGAAGATCACAAGGGGTTGCCTTGCAACTCATGATCATCATGAATTTAGAATGATAGAATTTTAACTAAAATGTATATTTGTTGAAGACATTAAGCCCTACCACTCTGGTGAGATAGCCTAGAGTTGGGATCTAATTTAGAGTACATTTTCATGGACCATAACAGAACAGACAATGAATATGTGGGTGGCTTCTCATGGCCTATCACTATCACAGAACAAACGGTGTAATATGTGTGTGCCTTGTCATGTCCAATTTCTATAACAGAACACACAATGGAGATGAAGTTGAAAAAAAGTGGCCTACTACTTCTAACAATAAATCAATACAGGCCATGCATACTTGTTAGGGTTTGAGATCAGATAAACATAAAGGTCACAGTTGTTGTGTATGTTATGGCACCACCGAACATGGGATTTAAGAAGTTAGCTGCTGATCTTGTGGCAATGTTCCTTGCAAGTGATAATTGGTGATGATCATATAAAGCTTGGACCTAAAATCGGATGGGATGAGTTGGAAGACAAAACCATGTGATCCTTCATGTGCTAATGTCTTTCACAAATTGCCATCTAAATCCCTCTTCACCACTCATTCCACATTGCAGAGGATTTTCCACTATATATATCCACATATGAGTCAGTCTACAACCAACACAAATCTTTACATTCTTCAGTATCAAAGCTTTCATTTGTTCTACAAATTCTTTCTAAACTTCAGAGAGAGTGAGAGAGAGAGATTTATATATACAACAATGGGTTTCTGTGTGCCTCGTATTGTTCATGCTAAGCAAATTCTTCGACTGCCTTCTTCGACAACAAACCAAGCAGATTCTGTGGTTCTAAATGTCCCAAAAGGCTACTTTGCAGTTTATGTTGGTGAGGGGGAAAAGAAGCGTTTTGTGGTTCCAGTATCATACTTGAACCAACCTTCATTTCAGGACTTGTTAAGTCAAGCTGAGGTAGAATTTGGTTTTGACCATCCAATGGGTGGTCTCACAATTCCCTGCAAAGAGGGGATCTTCATCGATATCACCTCACAATTGAGTAGATCATGAGACATTTCTATTTATATAGACACAATTTTGTAAAGCAATAGTCTCCATGTACAAATTTCAATTTAAAGTAGTGATCATGATGTTCTCAGACAATTTAAAATACATATACATTATTTCATTTAAATCTTTGTTGCAATATATGTATGTATGCATAAAATATGTCCATGGTAAGATCTGAATGTAAAAGTACCTAGTTTGTAATGCTGCACATACTATAAGTGGTTGTTCCATGGTTCGTGGATCGTCTCTAGAGCCTACAGAAGTGAGGCCACCAGGCCAATCTAATATTTGTAACTGAACTAATCAGGAAAGTCGGAGGAAAGGGAAAGAGGTTTTGGATGTCAAGGCAATAGGTTATATGGATGTCCTAACATCAACTAAATCCCAGCTCATTTGATCACCAGTCTAGAGAATAATTGTCACAACTGGTATATTCGTGAACTATAATGTGAAAACTCATCCTCTCGAGATGTACCATTGATGTTCAACGATCACCAGGCATCTTACACATATCCCATGCTCATCTTGAAGTACACCGGCTTAAATTTCATCCTTCAGCATACCCATCTGAAATCTGGCCCAAGCTTTTATCATCACCAATTAGCACTTGTATGTGTTGAGGAGCAATGTCACATGAGCAACTAACTTGTTCAATCTTATGTTGTGCAGCGATATATACTATTGGAGGTCTGTGTTTATTAACAACAAACCTAATAAACATGTAATGTGGCAACCAATCCACAGTGCCTCGATTTTTCTAATAAATTTGGACCTACAATATTGATTCACGTGAACTTCAATTAATTTTTTTGTATTGAAAATTGATGCAATTTTTTGATTGATGACCTTCTGTAACTGTATAATATTCCAAACCTCCAACAAGACTTTAGATTCACTGGTTTTCTTGTCTATTACATTTCAGTTTTCTTAAGCAACCACAGTGTGGGTCTGCTGCATATTTCAAATATATTTGAGTTGCTCCTGTAAGCTTTCATTAGAAACTTTGTTTCTAATCCAGTCTAATCTCCACACTGGTTTTAGAACTTAAAAATGTACTAATTCTGACTTCGTTCAACTCAATGGTTGTTTCTTCCGTGAGATAAAAATTGCAGAAGATTAATCTATTCAGTAGTTACAAATTTCACCATATAATGCTTATGCTATGTTTTATCATATATACAAGAGTGGATTTGTATCTCGCAATCATGTCCCTTTGGCTAACATCTGAAAATTATTTGATCCAAATGGTCTAGTGGATATATATGTTATAATCAGTAGGCCAGAAAGACATAATTTCCACTAGACCTCCATTGTTTGTTCTGTATAGTGATTTTAAAGCTCACCTCCTGAACATGTACCACTAACATTAGTTTTGTATAGACAAAAAAATTAGACTATGTCATTTTCAATTGCTAAAAGCCAAATTTTAACGACGATTAACAAAAATGCTAACTTCATGATCCATTTAATGTGTCCCTCAACCAGCCATTAGTGTATGTGTAAAATTTAACGTGTTAAAGTTGCATTTTCTCTTTGCATGATAACATACTATAAGCATTATGTGGTGAAGTTTGTATCTGCCAAAAAGAAATATAAATACTCTGCAATATTCTCTCTCACATAAGAAAATACTATGGACTTGAATTGGGACAAAGTCAGTACATTTTCCAATTCTAAACCACAGTAAGAGGCATGACAAACCTCCATTCTAGTGGTCATCTCAAGTACTTAACAGATGTTATTGTGAGAAATGTACCGATTGTTAAAAAATGATGGACCGATCTCACTTTTGGCTATTTGAAATAAGTGTACCATATATGGGGATTCTTCCTCCATTTTACTGCAGATACTTCAAAATTTACACTGATTGATGTAATCAAAAATATTCAGATGTTAGCCAAAACAAAACGAGACGTAGCTAACCAACTTCTAGGATAGACGTATATTGTATTCTGCACCATCTTATACACACATACCAGGTAATTAAAAATATATATGTAAGCGTCAAGCGTCAACAGATTAGCAGCATTTGTATTAAAAGCTATTTGGCTAACAAACAAGCAAAATTAAGCAACTCAATTCATGCGAAGAAATTCAACTCAGTTTACTTCATAGAAATCAAAGGTTACATCAAATTTGCATGAAAGAACCAATTCTCCTACTTCAAAATTGGAGCAGCTGGTTTCTTTTGGTCAATGGTGTTAGAATATCTGTCCCTAATGGCTAGCCATTCCTTTATCTCCTTGCCTAAGAGCAATTCAAATTGCAAGTGAGATCAATGAAGGTTTCTTCTCTGCATGGGATGGTGAGACCGCCCATTGGATGATCAAATCCAAACTCTTCTTCAGCCTGGCTTAGCAAGTTTTGGAATGAAGGATGCTTCAAGTATGAAACCGGGACTACAAATCTCTTCTTCTCGGTTTCTCCAACATAGACAGCCAAGTGGCCTTTGGGTACACCCTTAGCCACTGGAGTTGAGAAAGCCTGTTGGATGACTTGCTTAGCATGAACAATTCTGAGCAAGCGGACACCCATAATTTGTATCAGATGTTTTTTCTCGGAGAAGTAGCAAGTAATTGATTGTAGGTCTTTGTTAAACAAGAGAAGCTTTGAGATGTGAGTGGCTGATGTTGGATTGGAACACATATATATATAGGGTATACTTATACAGGCTAACATTATCATATGGATTGAGTGGTTAAGAGAGTAGTGCACTGTGGTCCATTAATGACATATGTCATGAGGTATCACATGGCTATGCCTCACAACAGAAGGAAATTGAAAATATTTCATGATAAAACATGTCCGAGTGCCTTGTCATGGCTTATCACTATGACAAAGCAAACAATGGAAGTGAATTTGAAAATACGTTATTGAATGTGGCCTACTGATTATAACTATATCAATACTGTCCATACATCAAATAAACACAGAGGTCACAGGTGCTGTGTATGTTAAAGCACCACCGAACATGGGATTAAAGAAGTTAGGTGATCTTGTGACAACTGGTGATGATATGAGTGGTAAAGAGGCATTTAGATGGGGCTTATGAGACAAGTTAGCACATGAAGATCACAAGGGGTTGCTTTGCAACTCATGATCATCATGAATTTAGAATGATAGAATTTTAACTAAAATGTATATTTGTTGAAGACATCAAGCCCTACCACTCTGGTGAGATAGCCTAGAGTTGGGATATAATTTAAGTCAGAGTTGGTACATTTTTATGTTCTAAAAAAATGTGGAAATTTAATTATAACCCAGAGCCCCTCCCTCTGTGGTTGCTTAAGAAATTTGAAATGTAATAAAGAAAACTCATGAATCCAAAGTCCATTTTTATGTTCTAATTTAAAATTTTGGTTGAAATTGATCTAATCCAAAGTCAGAGTTAGTTCATTTTTATGTTCTAATTTAAAAACTTGGTTGAAATTGATCAGTAGAACTTTGTTGAACAAGCGTTGAACAAGAGAGAAGCTACCTTTGACACTGGGTGGATAATGTTAGCACTTAGCATAGGCTGCATAGATATATATATATATAGGCAAATGCTATATGGGCAAGCATTCTTATAATGAGAAGAGATGAAGATATTACTGTAATGTGGCCCACTAAATACATATTTCATGAGGTATCACATGGTTGTGCCTCCCAACAAAAATACAAAAAATATGACATTTTTGGTGCTGTAACAGAACAAGCAATGGAGGTCAGTTTGAAATTGTATGTGTTTGCAGCCCACTGATTATATTTTACATCCTAAATCCTATTTGGATACATAAAAAAAAAAAAAAAAAATTCCTATACAGTAGGGTCTAATGTTTGTTAGGTTAGCAGCAATAAACACAAAGACCTCGAGTACAGTATTTAGCGACACAAAATGAATTTGACAAATTAGTTGCTCATGTTACAATGCTACTTGACATGTACAAGTACAAATTGTCGAATTGGTGATGATATAAGCTTGGCCAGAATTTCAAGTTTAGGAACCCTAAATCTGTGTAGAGAGATTCTTAATGTAGTGGTTGAATTGTGGCTTGTTATGTGTACAAATGCTCCCAAAGGGCATTCCCAACGCATTCATGGCCCATTCAGTTTAATTTGGCTAATGTTTTCAAGGTTTTAACTTTAACATGTTAGAAACCAAGGAATTGGCAAAGTGCATGCTCAAGTGTACAGTTGTACCTCGAGTGTTCTTGATGAAGCTTCCCTTGTTTGATCTCTTCCTCCCATAATTCCAGTAAGCCAGATACACATAAAGTTTTTGTATCTATCTCACCTATAGATCTCCGTCACTGAACTCCGCAGAGGATAATAAATTTCCCTAGCAGATAACAGCACAAGATAATAAATTTCCCTAGCAGATAACAGCACAAAATGCAAATAATTGCGAATAACTAATTCCCTAGCAGATAACAGCACAAAATGCAAATAATTGCCAATAACTAATTCAATAAAAGCCCCCCCCCCCCCCCCCCCCCCCCCCGGCCGCCGCGGGCGGAAACTAGACCCTGCAAAACCCAATAAGAGTCACTGGCATCAATTTCATCACCAGAATGTTATCAAACACCAGAATGTTATCAAACACCCTAACGACCCTAGCTGATAAAAAAAATTGGCATAACCTCCCCTAAAAATGGGCCCATAACCTGTTTAAATGAATTTTTTAACCTGTCCCAGCACAATAAACATATAATACATTCTAACATCTCTTTTATCCATTCACCATGCCTTAACTTAGTTCCTCTCATGCTGGAACATCCACACACCGATTAATCTAAATTATCTTAATTACAGTCCCAAAATACATGGTTGAGATTTAAAGTCCCTATCTTACAACATTACATGATACAATTGCATAGAAATATATATACCATAATTCCATTAGTTTCATTTACATCAAACAAAAGATAAGTTCGTTCTTAAGTTACAAGGCCATGAATACTAACTTAATTACATTTCCACAACTATGAATATACATAGAATGGTCAAAATACAAAATAACAAACAACCTTCTAACAACTTTCAAGCTTGAGGTGAATTGTCGTCCACCGGTTCATTTCCAAGACCTGAAAAAATAATAATATAAATATATGGGGTGAGCAAATTGCTCAGTAGGTGGCACCTAAGACACGCATCTTGTGTCCCCGTGAACCTAAACAAGGAATAGGACAATAGGAATCGGGGTCATACTGTGTAGGGAAAATACAACATAACATACAGTCTCAACACAATCAATATGGAGCAATGAAATGCAGTGCATGTTAATGTCACTCCCCATTTTCAACAATTCAAATCCACCAATTTCAAACTGTTAATGTAACCCCCTTTGGTGACTCCGCAGCGTCGAGAGAAGGATTGGCTACTATCCCTGACCTTTGGTGACTCCGCAGCGTCATTATGGGGCCCAGATAGCTCAATCACGCTAGGGCAATCTCCCTAGTTCCCTCTAGGTTACATTAACCTACCGGTCCATTGGTGACTCCGCAGCGACCAAGTTTTCTCAAAACTCTTTTTCATCAAAACTTGTTTCCCCCAAAAGTTCCCCTTTTTGTATCAAACAATTTCTTTCCTATTTTGATACCCAATGACATGCATGATCATCATATGCTTTCATGATGCCATGATACATGAAAGATTCATACAATACACAATTTAACATGCTCCCATTCAACAATTTACAAAGAAATTACTAGCACCATAAGCATAATG